TTTCTCTCTTCTTGCTACATTGCCTGCCGTGCAATAGTTTTTGATATCTTGATTTTCTGTGTATTTCTGAACATGAATGAGAAATATCTCTTCCTCCATGTAAGCTATATTCAGACTGGTGGATACTAACTACAATAAGAGCCATCACACAAAAATATTTTTAAAAGTACTATACAATGTGGGGATGCAAGGTCGGTTATGTCTCATGCTGAGGGGAGCCTGCACTCTGAGATCATAGACCTTTACTTCTTAAATATTTATGCTAGCTCTTTTCCTCACTGTTTAACAGACGGGTCCCTCCAGGAGAGCCATTCTAGTAAGATAGTAGAGATAGGATTTTCTTCAAAATACTTCCAAGTATCCAAAAATCTTTGACAAAATATAGGATTTTTAGAAATCATTCCAAGTTGGGATCTAGTTCCTGAGAAAGTACTGAGGACTGTGACGGACCCCTGAAATTCAGGGGGGTTATAGTTTAAAACCTAAATATGCTACCTCACACAGTTCTGCTATTTAATTTAATAAAATATTGTATTAATAGAGCATTAGAAGGTGCAGGGTATTTTGGTGGCATCTTAAGGATCTTAGAACTTTAAGGAGAACAAAACTGAGAACACTCAAGATAGCAATTTGTTAGAATGCAGCAATGCACCAATGGTGTGTCTGAGAAGGTGGGTTAGAGGGCAGCAGCCAGTCAGCAGCAAGGAGAAATAAATAACACGCTCGGATTGGCTACTTGCAAACCTTCCACCAAAAAAGTAATTGCAGAGGATATTTGCAATGACTGCAAAATTGCAGAGGTTTCCGTGAACAATTACTAGATTCTAAGTTACATTCTAAGGACAAATCCTTGAATGACAGAAGCTGCGAATTCTGAACCATGACTTCACAGGAGTATACTGTATTTGTTTTTATTCACCTTATAGGATACATTTAAACATACAAAATATATTTCAATTTTATTATCCATATTTCTGTGTGTCCTCATCCAACTTATTCACTGAATTGGGCACCATAAAACTTCTGGCTCTTCCCCAAAGTGAAAATGAAGAAAATGACCAAAAGAAAACATTTGGAATCTATTTAAGACCTCAAGTCAGCCAAGACAGTGAAAATAAAGATATGAAAAATAACTCCCAGAAATGTGTTCACAGTGAGTTGGAAAATTTTGAGGAGGATTAATGGCAATATAGCTTTTAATATAATATTTTGTAATTTAAATATCACTATATTTATCCTTTCTTTTAAGAATTACTGTCAAAATAGTTATTACAAATAAATAATTATATTCAAGCCACAATAGGAACCTTATTTATTGATTCTCATAAAATGCTTATTGGTTGGGTTGCATGATGAATGTCACTCAGTGTTTGTTAGTTTGAAATCAATTCAAGGTACTTGTCACTACTTTTTCTATGGTGATAACAATTCTTCTTGTATTATTTTCTCATGTAGTGTATATAAGGACATAAAATAAATAATGAGAAATCATGATTAAATATGCTTGCATGAGACCAATTTTATAGATTTTTCCATTGTATCAGTATTACTTGTCTTTCCTCTCTTTGGAACAATGTAAATGAAGCAATATTTACAAGTGTGTACTTCTGGGGGAAAAGTATGTGACTTCTTGCCAATTTATATTATGTAAATAAGTGGATATTTATTTATTAAGCTCAATTTTAGGAATTTTTTCTTAAAAGATAAAATTTTTACTGAATAAGGTTAACTATATATCGGGTAGGTAATTATATCACCCACCAGTCAGCATAGTTAAATACATTATGGTACAGGTATAGTATGGTAGAATTTCCTACATCTACTAACTAGAATAACATTAATCTGGTAGGCAGTTAGGTGATAGAGCGCTCACCTTCTATGAACAAGACCCTGGGTTTAGTTCCCAGCATTATAAATAGAAAAACATGATATTTATGTATCAAACTAGAAAAATTATCCATATATATAAGTGAAAAAATCCCAGTAAAATATTTGCAACAGTGCCATTTTTTAAAAAAAATTGAAGAGCATGATAAAAATTATGTTAATAGTCCTTTATAATTCAGTATTAGGCCATACATGCATTTTAAAACATATTCTTTCAAGAACATTTTCTTTCATTACAATGACTAACCTTTGTTCCACTCCATTTCACTGGACTTTACTTCAGGGATGCTCATACTACTATGTAGGATTTTCTTGGCAATCGACTCTAATGTTCTTTGAAGAATTACTTCTTTTTCTTTTCCATTAGAAATAGTAGTATGGACTGAATTTAATAGTATTCAGGCCTTTGTAAATCTCAAATAAAGTGCAGGTCCCATACTGCAGAATCTGGGTAAAAGGTGAAAAGAAACTGTTAGGCAAAGGGCAGAAGTGTATGGGTCTAAATCACCCCTCACTCTTTTCCCTATTTTTCTCTGTTTCAACAATCTGTCCAACCATATGCCATAGATATTCACATACACCAAGTTTCAACACACATTAATTCAATTGGAAAATCCTTTTCATTCATTTATTACCTCTTAACTTATTTAATAGCCTTTTCAATTGCCTGTTCCAATTTTGAACTTTTCCACTGTTTTGTGGGTGATAAGGTATGATGTTTCCCATAAAATTGTTCCACTGCCCTTATACTAAATTGGATTTTCTGCTCACAGGCCACATAAGAAGTTCCTTACTGGGAAACTTTATGCTCTTCCCTTGAGTCATTTTTTTTTTCAGTTTATGGATACATAAATCCAAATGTAGACTATCTAAACTTGTCAAGTCTGTTATGGGACAACCTGAGTCTGCTCATTCTTCAACAGTGGCTTCTTTTATTCTATAACATTCCTGATAAATAAATGAAAGAAGAAAGACAATAGTTAGTGGTGTTGTGAATTTCTGGGTGAGATACTGTGAGACTTAGAAATTTTTTTGTTGTTAATCAATTTGTTGTTTCATTCCTCCCCACCCATTATCTCATGTATCATGACAATCACTTGCAAGGAGTCAGCAAAAGAACAGAAGGCCCCCAGTGGGTTCCACGTTATCACCTTCACCAACCATGATCAAAAGTACTTTTTTAAAAAATCAGCTGTATCTCTACTGAACACGTAGACTCTTTACATGTCCTCATTCCCTAAACAACATGGTGCAACAACTGTGTGTTTATACAGTGTTTATACGTATGATTAAGAATGTATTGGAGGACGTGCAAGGGTTGCACATGAATATTACATTGTTTTGTGTAAGGAAACTGAACATCTATGGATGTTGACATCTGCAAGGATTCTGACCTCAATATATAAAATAATAAGAAACAGCTGTATTCGTATTTTGGTCCTGTCCCTTTCCTGCATGTCAATGAAATTATTTTAGTATCAACATGCTCTGCACTGAGTTCCTGCTTCTAAATCCATAAAGTTCTCCCTAACACATCATCTTTAAGGTCTATATTCACTATGCTTGTCTTTCCATTTGAAAAAGAAGGAGATTCCTTTATATTCTAGTTATCTAAACCACATTTTCTAGATATATTTCTGGTCCATTGACAGCTGCTTAATGAAGGATGAGAATCCATGCCAACTCGCTGTCATTACACTCCTGTTTACCTGTTGCCATGAGAAGCACCTCCTTAATGCTGCCCCTTGAGTGAAGTTATTGTTTCCTTCTTCCCTTTGCTTGTTAACTATTCATGGAGCAGATGTTTTCAGGTTGAGTATCAACCCGGCATGCCTGAGGAAGGATGTGTAGGTTACTTGCCTTTCACATCCTCACATGACTGATTGTTGGAGGATTCTCAGTCAGATGGTTAGGCAGTTCCTCGGGAAGGTTTAACAAATGACCCTGGGCATAGCAGTATCATGGTTATTTTTATAAATGACACCTCCAAGCAACTCTCTAGTTGTGTGTTCTTGAATATATTATTCTCTCTTAGTGAGGAAAGTCTCTGAGTACTTCCCAATTATAACATTGAAATAATATAGCCCAAGCTATGATGGGTTTATCAGGTCTCAAAATAACTATATGATCTTCAGCCACCGAGCTTCACTGACTAGCTAACCTCAAAAATGGTGCTGCTATGGTTTAGAGCTAGAATATCTTCCAATAATCTCACATATTCAAAGGTGGGATTTTTAGAAGGCGGTTGGATCTTGGGATTGCTATGCTCACCCACTGATGGGTCCATAGTTGCATGTGCTGTTAGAAGAGGGGTCCTGGTCAGGAGGTATGGGTCACTGGGATGTGACCTGGAGGGATGCATCTCCCTCCTCAGCACCTTCCTTCTTTCTGGGCTACCTGGATGCAGTGACGTGACGTAGACAGATTTTCTTCAGCCAGGCACTTTCAGCATGCCATTTCTAGTTTGGAGCTGGCTGACCACAGACTGAGGTCAGAAGCCATGAAAACCTCTCCCCCTTCAAGTTGTGGATGTCAAGTATTTTGTCCCAGTGATGGGAAAGTGACTGAGGTAGGTCAGCACCTTGAACATCCATCAGACTGTGTCTTAGTCCAAAATCCCAGTGATCACAGATAGGTGGCAGTCAGAGACTTCCCCAGACTCCTGAAAAGGGGTTGCCCCTTGCAGACACTTCCAAAGTCACTCAGGGGCTCAGTGAGGCCCTACTGGGCTTGACTGCAATCTGGATTTTAAAAGCTCAAAGAAAGCTAGTTCTTGGTCAAAACACCATTAAAATTAGTGTTTTTCCTGGTAGCTTTATGAAGAGAGAATAGTAAAATTTCCAGCTACAGTATGTACTCTTGAGAGAGACTAAAAATCACAATCATTCTCTGAGTGTCTTGTTTTGATTTTGGCTCTGACAGAAATAACTCATTTTTTATTTTCAGAGGGATATCACCAATTGTTCCTGCAAATGTGGGCCAGGGGATTTTCCAATTTACTGCATTCCCTGTACTTTAGTTGGGTTGATCAGTCATCCTCTGGAGGTCACATGATGGTCAAGCATTCTGTTCTTGTTTGGTTGAAGGTTGAGAAATCAGCATTACAACATCAATATGAAGAACAGAGCATTTTATTCTAAAAAATCAAATATACATATCTTCAGATTTTTGCAGTTAGTAAAATAATATAAAGATTTCAGAGGAAGCATAAAATACATATTAGAGCTCATTCGATGCAAGTGAAAAATCATACTTTCTTTCCTTCTAAGGCAGGAATGAAATGAAAGAATCAGTTAAATCAACAATCAAACACCAATCTCCAGCATTTATTGCACAGCTTGAGTTGTTGATCAAACCGGGCTCCACTAATGTCACCGGAAATATCACTGTCCTCAATGTTCTGGATCTATAACTTCCAGAATACACAAATTTTCTTACCAGCCATATTTGATAAAGACTTGCTGAGTACTAATGTTTACAGTGGATAGATCCTAAATTAAAATGAAATTTCTTTATGGCTTCCACTTATCCTATAATTGTTTTATATTAACCACTAAGTGGGTTTAGGTAATTGGGAAAATTGCAATCTAGCAAGCTCAATTTAAAGGAGATGAAGAGATGTGAGCAGTATCTTTCTACCTGTGGTCTAGAAAAGGAAAGCCTTTCCTGGTTGGTTGGCACATTTATTCCAATAATATAACCTCATGACAATAGGACATGACTTTCATTAATAAGTTCCAGGTCTAGTGGGGCAGTACACGGTGTCCCAGCAGTCTACAGCACTAACAGCGTCTCGTCATCCCTTCAGACCATTTATCTACACAAATGTGCATGACTTCCTGTCAATCCCAGTGAATCCCATTGTTTTGTCTCTGGGGGACCTAGATTAAGTGAGGTCCACAGTCCTTCCCAAAAGAGACTTCTGTGTGCTGAGGTTTAATTTTTCTTCCAAGTCAACCAAGAAAATGATTTATTCAGGTGAAGCAATCAAGTTCTTTCAAGTTCAAGGAGGATAACAGGATCAGTAGGTTCTGGTCTGACTGTAAGCTGTGCATGGTGGTGCACACCCTAACCCCAGAACTCTGAAAGGCTGAAGCAAGAAGATCTCAAGTTCCAGTCCAGCCTGCACCAGTTAGCCACTTAGCAAGATCCTGTCCTAAAGAAAAAAACAAAGCAAACAAAAAGGGCCTGATTCAATCCCTAGTACTGGAAAAAATAAGTTAACTGTAAGTAAACTGTATCTTATTATACATGTGCTTGCTAAATTCAGAAACACAATTTTACAGCACAACAGAAAATATTTTCCTTGTCACATAGCAAATTCTAGCAACCTAAAACAAGCAGCATAAACATTCCAAAAGCTAGGATCCAAATTTTCCTGTTTAAAATGACTTATTCAAGCATTTTCCCCCTAAAATTCTTATACCTTATCTCTTCTTAAAGAATGAAAATGCCAGTAAGTCTATTAGCCTAACACTCCCAAACAGAAAAATGTGAATCCCCAGCTAAAAAAATAGTATCAGCTAAATACAATATAAAACTTCAGAGTTAGAATGAGTCTGTCAGAGTAAAAACTTATAAATGCAATTGCCTATGTTCAAAAAGTTCTATTAGGTAGAGCTCACTTTTCACATGGCCCCTGGAACTCAGGAAGACAGCACAAACAAGAGAGTACATGTGGTTTTCTTCCAACCCAGTGGTCTCCAAGTGCTGTAAGTTGAAGTCAACAGGAAAACTCTGCCAGACAGAAAGCAAGGTACCTTCTATGGCTTGAGCAAGACAGTAGCTCTGGAAGAAATAATACAGAGCAAGGAAGTGTAACACAAATTTCTTTTATACGTAGCCTACTTTGAAACAATGGCTTAAATGCCCATGTCAGTGTTTAATTTTAGCTGTCCCACGTTTTGTTGCTATGCAGGTTTCAGAAGGGCTCACAATCTGTTGTTACATTCCTATGGAGCAATTATTTATGTGTCTCTGTGTATCCCAACTATTAGGAAACTCTGAGCTCTGCCAGGTCGTTCCCACTTGGCAAAGGCCTTGATGCACCTTTGATTAATGAGCCAAGTCTGGTCTATTGATTATCACCTGGAACTGAGTCTACCCATGAGTTCTGTGGAGGAGTATTTTTTTTTCCTATTCCTATTTTTATTGTTTTATATTTGTTTCAGGAAAAGAACAGTGCAGTGATATCTTTGAACCATCAGCTTTAACTAGACCGTGTTCATGTTTTAGGTTTTTCAAAAGACTTTTGCTTGTTCCATTTGTTAAATTTTGTTTTGTTTCCCTCTTGAAGATGAACTGATTAGAGATAAGGAATTCGGGGCAAGAACACTGTGTTAAACTGCACGCAGTTGCAGGTCCAAATTTCCATTTCATTTGTCTGCCAGTTGTTTTATGGTTTGTTCATCTGTTTTCTTTGAAAAATGGCATACTCGAATGCCTAAGGTTCCAGATGTTGATCCTAAATTCTCAGTACAATTCTTCCTCCTAAAATTTCCTAGATATATGTTTGCCTTCAGATAAATTATGTGATCTTCTGCTCGAATTCTTTGCTTTTAGAGTAAAAGCATCATCACAGAATATCTTTAGGACATATAAACGAGGCAAGGCGTGTAAATCACATGCCTGAACCACTACAAAGAACATACAAAGTGCTCAGTGAATTCTTATCTTTATCAAAATAATTTTCTACATTTAGGGGCTAAATTCATCTAGCACAGACATCATACTTAGTACCCATTGTGTGGTGGGTATTTAATACAAAAGATACATGGTTAGATAAAACGTTCCCAACTTTCACATCCTGAAGATGAAAGGGAACCTATGACCAGTTATTTAAAGGGTGTCTGAGTCAAGCCCCAGCCTCTTAGTGCTAAGAGCTCATGCTTCTCACTATTTCCAGAAAATTATAAGATAAACAGTAACTAGAGGAGTTGTTTTATTGATTGAATGATTATCTCAAATTTACAACTTACTGCACTATAGAACATAGTGTGACAATAAGCATGCAGGCTCTGATTTTTGTTAAAAGTATTTTGATTTTAAGAGTCATAACAATAAAATGTCTTCTGATTCAATTAGCTAGTCACTTAGTCAAGAATACCAAATTGTTTTTTAAATTGGTACCGGGGATCAAACTCACGACCACGTGCTTGCAAGGTTTGACTATTAACTCTTTTTGAAGTCCTGTAAGGTCTCCAATGTAGGTTTTATTGGTCTTGTTGTGTACTGTCTTGATCAATTCTATTATACCGAATGATATAGGCAACTCAATTTAAAAATAGCAAGAGGCACAATGGTAACCACTTTTGATCACCTGGTATTCTATTTTTGCATCATGTACTATGTCCATCCTGCTGTTCTAACTGACTCTGTTTTGCTTAGTCACGTTTGGTTTTATTCTCTTCAAAAAAGAACTGTGGGAGTAATAAAACCCAAAAAGTATAATTGTTATTGTAAAAAAGAGAGGAAAGGAAGGTGGACTAAGGGATATAACCGCAGGTATGTTTGAGTATGTAGGATGGAAAACCATATTACTGAGCTTTTGCTGGATCATTGAAAGGAACTGTTTCCAATATCACTGTATGAATGTCCACTTTATATGCTTTAATTTTATAACTTGTACAACTGTTTCTAAGAAGACAATATGTAACCTATTAACTAGTGATTTCTTACTGTATATTTTTTCCTGATATTCTGTATTACTTGTACCCTTTTACTGCTTTTTTATGTCCTTTCTTTTTTCTCTTTAAATAAAAAAATACCAAATTGTTACAAAAAGTAGGTCTTCATTAGAATATTTATTTAACATCTCAGTTACAGCGAAGGAGATACTTCAAATCATCACTTCATTTGCTCCCTTCTTTCTCAGTGCACGAATTCCTCAGACCATATTTTTTATCTACTACTTGCATGTTTTAAATGAACAGAAGCAATGTAAGTGTAGAAATAAATAGATGAGGGGCTGGGGATTTAGCTCAGCGGCATAAGCGCCTGCCTTGCAAGCAGGCAGTCGTGAGTTCGATCCCTGGTACCGATAAAAATGAAAAAGACAAAAAAAAAGAAATAAGTGGATGTGAAGGAATAAAAATTAAAGTCATGAACAACCCTAAACTCAACAGTGACTACCAATTTCAAGGAAATGTAAGTATTCTCAAATTCTTTTGCTCCTGATTCTGATCATGCAGTTCAATTATTTGTCTGTACAGTTGAGAGAAGAGACTGTACAGAGCTCTATATGTATTTTTATTTTTATTTAAATCTATAACATATCCTATGTCATTAAGTCTTTCAAATTTATTCTTCAAAAGGAAATATAAAGTCCAACTTTGGAAATGCCATAATTCATATTCTGGACAATCCAAAATTAATTTACAATTATATTTTTCATATTTCCACTCTCAAAAATATCGCTATCATATGCATCTTTGTAAGTCAATTTTTGTGTGAACTTCTGATTATTTCTGCAGATTAAATCACTAGTAGTAATTAGAAATGATATTCCTAGGCTCAAAGGTTGAGGGTTTCCCTTAAGATTTTGATGTCTATTAGAAAATTGCTTTACATTGTACCCATTTTGGGCTGGGGATACAGCTCAGCGGCATAAACACCGCCTTACAAGCAGGCGGTCGTGAGTTTGATCCCCAGTACCAATTTTTAAAAAATGGCATATTGTACCCATTTCTACTTCTTTAATGATTTACTCGGGGATTATTATTTTTAAAATATTTACTGTTTTGAGGGGAGGAGTTCAAGATATTTTCACTCAGTGCCTCTGCGTTTTGGTTCCCACTCAATGCTTCATTTGGTAACAGATGAGCTTCCATTTCCCAATTACGTATTACCTTCTCTATTCGTCAAGCCTAATCACAGCATTTATCTTTCAGTCCTGTCCAGTGCCTTTGTCCACTTGCTATCCCTGTGGTCTTGGACAAGATCTCTTGAAGCCTCTGTTTTTCCTCTGTCAAATGGGTGCCTCAGTAGTGCGTTGTTGTAGGATAACAGAAGATCTATGTAAGTAAGGCGCTTCCAGAGTAAACCTGCCCTTTACAACGGCCATTTGAACTAAATTAAGCATAAAAGTATCTTTAAATGGTAGCTAACATTTCCGTAATATCTACTCTGGTTTGGATGTGATTCAAATGGGTGGGTCCCCAAAAGATCCTGTGCGGCGTGGCTCTGCTGGCGCTGGGACCTTTAGGAGCTGAAGCTTAGGGGAAGGTTACTGGCTCATTCATTCCCCCTGGGGGGAATGCCTGGGGTTCTTGCTGGGTGCCAGGGAGTCCCAAGAGAACAAGTTGTCAGGAGAAAGGCCAGCACCTCCCCCTGGTCTTCCCGCTTCCTCTGCAACCTCTCTATGGCTCTCCACGCTGTGACGCTGCCCCAAGCCTTTCACCAGAAGCTGGACTGATGGTGCTGCCCAGTGTTGGACTTACAGCTGCCAAAACTTTGAATTAAATAGACCATCTTTCTTTATGTAATACTCACCCTTAGGTGTTTTATCATAGCAGCAGAAAACAGGCTAAGAGGCATTTGTCTGTAAGGAAATGACACAGTATCTTTGGAAAAAACTCCATAACTAAATTGTATCAACATGTAAGTGTTTTATAATTCTAAACCTAGAGTATCACCTGACATAAAATATATTCTCAATCAACACATTGCAACCGAGTCAATGCTACCATACCGCTATGAGTCACAAATCTTTTAAAGCACAGGAAAAATTAAGGTTGGTATTTCAACCTGTAAGAGAGGACTGCTGGTCAATATTAAAATTTTAAGCACTTGTGGTTTCCTGCTCCTTTACTGAAAAGTCTCCCCCTGAGAAATAAGAAATATATATTCAAAATACACCCACATTCTCCCCAAACTTCTCTCTATATTTCTACTTGAACTGAATGGGTCATTGTTTCCCAAATGTATGCAGCAGAGAAAACAGTAACTGTATGGATAACAATTTATTCCTACGTGAGACACACACGTGAAGTGACTCACAAGACAAATGTGACAAAATGAGCAAAAGAAAAAAGATTAATTTCACATTATGTTTTATGAGTATTGTAAATTTTTAAACAAAGATAATTGCAAAATAAAATAAATATGGTTTTTGTAGCAGAAATCTCCAAAGAACTGATTGCAGTCTCATTTCCACAAATGATTCATTTGGAGATCATAGGAAATGAAGTTTACTTCCCAATAATTTAATTTCTTACACTCCCAAGCAGTAGAATGAAATTTTATATTTTCTTCACTGAGAATTTTCAAATTCTCAGTTAATTGAATATGAAAATCTTTGTCATTTCTTAAACTGTAAAACAAAAATACAACATGATTGTATATCTTTGCCTGAAATTTCTTAGAGAAAATATGCATAACATTCAGTGACTTCTATCAGTGAAACTGGTAAACAGAACCCAAAACTGTGAACACATGAATAGATTTTGCATTAAGTATGTATTAATGGAGTGTAAGAGCACTATTTCTAATAACACCTAGTAAACAAAAAGATTGGCATTTTCAATGATACAGTTGTAGAAAAGAATCTAAAACTGAGGTTCTGTAGGTATTTCAAGTAGTATTTTGTTACAGGAAATGAATGTAGTATACAAATGTTTTACATTTATGTGTGCATAAAAAATCAATTCATAAATTCTGCCATTCTTTTAAGAGCACCAGTGTACGATAACATGTTGAATTAATTACATGCCTGATAGTACATGATCTTCTGTGAGTCTAATATTAACAATAGATAATGTTAACAACAGGACTCCAGAAAAAGGAAAGACAACATTAGACTAATGTATTATTTTAATGTGAAATGTGCCTGTGTATGTTTTTACAGAAAATATGAAATTATTACTTCCCAGTATGATTTTAAAAACCAATTAACTTTAAAATTACAACTTGCAATACAACATAAGCTTCACCTACAAACTCAAATAGCATTTACTTCTGAAACGTTAATTTTGTAAATTAAACATCCCCTTTAAAAACTCACTAGCTAATTTAGAACTGTCATTTTCAAATCATAAACAAGATCAGATGGTATACTAAGCACCTAATATTTCCACTGACATATTTGTTATAGGTTTTATGTTATCATAATTCATATCTTACTGACAAATGTCTTATAATTTAATTGGAAGGGCAAATAGGAAAATCATAATTATAGAACAATGTGAAATCAGCTAAGCTACGGTATGAATAGGTAATGGAATGGCCTACCCCTGCTTGGAATGTTTTTTTTAAAATGAATAACATTTAAATAAAATTTGAAGAACAAGAATACAATAAAAGACAAAAAAGTCTCCAGGAGAAAGGCCAGAAGGGTGAATACGTGATATGCAAAATATGAGGGTGTGCTTGAAGCACTGTCAGCAGCAGCAGATATTTACTGGGGAAGGTAAAGGACGGCGTTACGGAGGCAAACAGGGACCTAACACTGAACAGCCTCGTTGCTCTGGTGGGGGAATGACTGATCTCATTTATGTCCATAGAGATCTGTGTCAGCCACAGAAGAGAACAGGTGACAAAAAGGTTTTGACTAGCATCAAAATGATCCAAACAGGGATTTAAATTTGGGAAGAAACATGAGTGAGAGCAGAAATAAGAAAGTGAACACAAAAGCTGCTCAGAATGTTGCATCTACTCTTCTGGAGCCAGCAAGTTACTGGATTTGTCCCACAAGGGGGAAAGTCATAATTTCTTAGCCCCTCAAATGTAGTAAATTTGTCCTGCTGGGATGTGAACTCACTTTATCCTTTCATTCCCTCCCTTCTGTACATTTTATAATGAGGATGCCACCTCAAGCTTGATTCCCCTTTACGTTTGAGGGGGACATAGTTATTTTCACATCCAAAGTCCTGCGGATGGAGAGGAATTTTGCCCTAGGATGGACCATATCCACAGACTGCTACAGACCTGATTTAGACGCTGGGAGATGGGGAGTTTTGAACTGACATTTAAATCATATTTTGGGCTTCACGTTGATGCTGGAATGCGTGAAGAATCTGGGGAATAGTGGGGTGAAGGGGATAAAGTTTGCCTGCAGAAAGCTCATGCACTTGCGGAGACGAGGTTCAGAGTGTCTTGAGTACGATTCTGTCCCCTCCCCCCAAGTCCTGATCCCCAGTGCCTGTCCATGTGGCCTTATATGGAAACAGGGTCTTTGTAGTAGCAGGAAAATCAAAATGAAGTGTACTGGTTCAGGATCAGCCCTGGCCAAATGACTGATACGTTTACAAGGAGAGAGAAATTTGGACACAGAGGAGGACACCGGGAAGGTGAAGTAAACACACCAGGGAGAAGACTATGTTACAGATGTGACAACTGGGTCTGCCCATGTACACGCCAAAGAACCTCAGAGAGGCCAGGAGAGAGGCAAAGAATGGACTGACTCTCTGTCTCTTTGGACATCAGACTTCCAGCACCCAGTCTGTGAGAGAATAAATTACTGTTGTCTGAAAACACTCAAGCTGTGGTCCTTTGTCATGACAGCCCTGGGAAACTAGTATAAATGTGAAACAGTGCTGCTACACGAAGACCAAGAAAGCCCTGGATGACAGTGAGTGTTGGGTTTTATATGCAGACAGCTGATAGGAAAGTGCGTGGAGGTTGTTAAACATTCAGCACTTTAAAACTGACACTGTGACTTGAGGAAGTAGGAATATCGAATCTAGGTACCTCAGTAGAGAAGTTCATCTAGGAATAGAAGAAGAGAGATAAAAGCGGTAACTAAAGCACAGTGGAGTCCAGAAGGGAAACTTTAATGCAGACTCTTCTGTGTGCTTCAGTACTAAAGAAAATGAGCCCAAAAGCCAAGGCGAGCTGATGAGAGAACAAGCAGCTCAGATAACAAAGGTTGTTAGCAGAAGAATAATGACCAGCACTGAGAAAATAAAAATGATGAAACATGGATGAAAATGGGTGCTGTGTAATTTTTGGCTGATGGCTTTTTATTTTGTCTGATAGTCTGGAGGCAATCTGACTTTCAAAGCCTAAGAATGAAGATGGAGAAGGAAGAGATTTGAGGAGTGGGTGACAATGTGGGCCGTGGGAATCGGTTACAGGCACACATGGAGAGGATGTTCACAGGGAGAAACAATTTTTAAGAAATAAGTCTGTGCACAATCAAGTGATGTACCGATTGATTAATGGCTGGTGTTTCCCAGGAGTAACTGCAAAGCAATTCTGATGAAATAGCAAGAGAAAAAAAGCGTAAATCAGGGTCAAAGTGGTAGGCAGTAAGTATCTATAATTGATAAGGAAAAACATTTCAACAAAATTGCTAGAAATGAACATAGTAACTAAAAACTATGAGAAATTTGTCGAATAGTGCTCTCTTGAATAAGTATTTTTTTAAAGCCCACATACCAGTCAGGAAGCTGGGGCCGCAGTTGCCTGGAACCTTTCCCTTCCCTTCCCTCCCCTCCCCTCCCCTCCCCTCGCCTCCCATTCTCTTCGCTTTTCTGTCTTTTTGAGACAGAGTTTCACTAGCAGTGCAGGCTGGCCTCAAATTCACTTTGCAGCTTAGACTGCTCTGAAACTTGCAGAAATCCTCCTGCCTCCTGCCTCGGCCTCCTGAGCACTGGAATCACGGATGTGTGCCACCACGCCCAGCTCATTTTCAAAGGTAGACATTTCTGGTAATTGTCTTTATGAAACTTCATTCCCTCCTCAAAAAGAAATTACCAGAAAGTGACAGAGCCCATCACTCCGTGGGTGTGGCTTCCTCCTTGGCAGTTCAACATTCTCACTTTTCTGTTGCTTCTTATTTTTAACTCTACACCTGCGTTAGTGGCAGAAGAAACCTCTAAGCGACAGGTGCCACGAGGCCCACGTCCACCGCTGACCGCTTAGTGACATTTCCAGTACTTGACACAGTCATGCAAAGAAGTCTTTTCAATGCACACCTGAGAAACCACAAGCAAAGACCCCGCTGAGACCCGGGACCTGTAAGGAAGGCAGATCTAGGAGGAAGGCCACGCTGAAGCTCTCCTGCACCTCCAGCTTTAGAACGGAAAATATGCTTTAAGCCTCTTCCACTGTACCTGCTTCTAAAACCATCATTCAGGATTTTGATTTTTTATGTCACCTCTATGAGTATGCAAGCCTAATAAACACAAAATACACAGCCTGGTGATGTTCTGTGTGATAAGCAAAGCAGTAGGATTAAAATTATTTCCATATAACTACGTAACTTTCCATCTTTAGAACTTCGATCAGGACCTGTTTAATTACTAAGCCACCGCCTAACGTGTTTTATTATCTTGAGTGGTGTGTCATACCGAAGAGTAGTTTGATTTTATTTCTTCCTTGTATCATTAGGGAAGGAGGAAGAGGCTTTCGTTTGTTACTCAAGCAAATTCTAGATGCTGGGTGGGAAGAATTAATCTGCCTTTCAAAATAAAATGATTAGTAAGGTGGAAGTGTGACACCCTTATTAACTTTGCCTGTCATCTGTCAGATCATCACAGGTTTGCCTGGGAAGGGACAGGGAGTAATCACACTGACTAATAATCGTGTTCCCCGTGCACTTAGCTTGTGAGCATGCAGCGGGTACCTGCCCGGCTCCGGCTTCCTCCACGCCCCGCCTCACTGTTCAGCTCCTTCTCATCGGACAGTGTTCAGACAGAATGCACGTCGGTTGCTAGAAAGGCATTAATATTTTAATATTTATCGAGGTCGAAGAAAATGCACGCAAACTGCCGACACCCATAATTATGCTGTAAATTTGATTTTAATTACTTTTCATTTTTAAATAAGGTGACTGGGGTTCAGACAGTTCGCGTATGGCTGAGAGATGCTCACCTTACGTTTAAGCCCGAATCTCCGCACACCTGTCCAGCGGCTAAGGACGGACGCTTCCTGCAGCAGTGCCCTGATAACCCCTGTGGGACACCGCTTTACTCCAGTTTGCTCTCCGGGTAAGCGATAGGCTCCCTGAAGGCTCCTGCTTTTCTCTCCCTGGAAGCTAAATTTATCATCCACATCTTTGCTTTTAAAAGCTGGACACCAAGTGAGGAAACCCGCGGAACCCTACAGCCAAGTGTGAGCTGTTTGTGGAGAGGTTTTACTCCCTGGGGGGAGAGCTAAGTCCAAATCCGTAACCAGGAAAACTTGGCGGGGGTCTGCAGTCCCTGCGGGTGTCTGCTAGACCCTCCCGTCCCGGGCAGCCGCGGGAGAAACCCAGGGGAAGGAGGTGGAAGGAACTGGCCTTCCGGGGAGAAGGGAAGTGGGTGGACAGGGGGAGTAGGAGCCAGAGGGGAAATCGAGGCGTGAGCAAGGGTCCTGGGGTCGAGACGTGGCGTGAGATTTCCAGTGGGCGACACCCAGGGCAGGGAAGCGAGCACCAGGCCACTTCGGCGCCCGGGGAGGGCGCGCGGATTTAGCGAGCGCTGCGCACCGGGCCGTCCCGGGCACCTCACCTGGGCCACCCTGCGGGTCCGCAGAGCGCAGCGGGAGGACGGTCCGGGGACCCGGGGCTGGGCGAGCGGAGCGCGCGGGGAGGAGCCGCGGGGCGGGGAGGCGCGATAGCCGCTCTGCACCCCGCGTCACCGGGCGGGCGGGGACGGCAGGGCTATAAAGCGTGCCGGCCGCCGGGTTCACGCTCTGCTCGGCGAGAACCCCGACTGACCGCGCGCACGGCGGCTCCCCGACCTGCCGCGTCCTGCGGGCGGCGCTGGGCTCCGGGCACTCGGGCTGCGCCCCCATGGCCTCGCCCGCGGGGAACCTGAGCGCGTGGCCGGGCTGGGGGTGGCCGCCGCCGGCCGCGCTGAGGAACCTGACCTCCTCCCCGGCCCCGACCGCGTCCCCGTCCCCGGCCCCGTCGTGGACGCCCTCGCCGCGCCCCGGCCCCGCGCACCCGTTCCTGCAGCCGCCCTGGCGCGTGGCGCTCTGGTCGCTGGCCTACGGCGCCGTGGTGGCCGTGGCGGTGCTCGGCAACCTCGTGGTGATCTGGATCGTGCTGGCCCACAAGCGCATGCGGACGGTCACCAACTCCTTCCTCGTGAACCTGGCCTTCGCCGACGCCGCCATGGCCGCGCTCAACGCGCTGGTCAACTTCATCTACGCGCTGCACGGAGAGTGGTACTTCGGCGCCAACTACTGCCGCTTCCAGAACTTCTTCCCCATCACCGCCGTGTTCGCCAGCATCTACTCCATGACGGCCATCGCGGTGGACAGGTGAGCGGTGCGGGGCCGGGCCGGGGAGAGGGACCCCGTGGGATGGGCCGGGGAGGGGACCGAGCGGCAGGGCGCAGAGGGAGCAGGCTGGAGACAGGAGGGTGACACCCGGGAATGGGCCTGCTGGAGCGCGGGAACTAAGGACGCTCTGGAAAAAGCCTGTGGCTGCACTGGTTTTTGCTTTCCTGGTGTCCCCTGCAACCTAACCCTGACTCCCTGAGTTCTGATGGGGCATCCAGGGACTGAATGGAGGGGAGCCAGGGACGCGAAGATCGCTCATCGCAAGTAGGACAAACTTGGCTAGAAAGGGTTAATACTGGCACAATGTTCAAATGACTTGGAGAAATGGAGTGAAATTCGTATGCTCTGTAAACTGCTGTGGGCCCTCTTTTCCTCTGCTGGTCACTATTCTAGCAGAGAAAGACAGTCGCCCACCAGCCTGGGCGCCTCCTCTCACTCTGCCGCCCCGCCCTGCTTCCTAACCGGGTTCCTACACCAGCCTGGCTCCCTCGCAGTCTCAGCCCAGCTCCCTGCTGAAGAAGACTCGTGAGTGCTAGCAGTTCCCGGGCGGGGCTCAGGAATCAAGGCTTCCCTGTGCAGAGGGAGACCTGGGTGACCCCGGGCTCTGGAAGCGAACGAGAGCAATGAATAAGTGATTTTTAAAATGAGACTCACTACTTTACACCCTTTAAAATAATTTTTTCAGAGTGTTCCCCCTGCTTCACTGTGAATTCTGCGATGCTTAAGCAATTAAAAGAAACCGAACCTACCTGGGCTCTCCTATTTGGTTTTAAAATGTGTGGGCATTTGCTTTTGTCCACTGGGCGTTGTGGGAGGCAGGGTGAATCCTGCTGTTGCTGAAAGCAGGCTGCGTTTTAACTCAGCTTTCCCTGCGGTGAACCCGAAGTCCGGAAGCAGATTCCGGGATGGCCAGGGCCAGGGGTTGCAGACAGGTCCCCCACACCACACGCTGCCTTAGCGTTCTCATCTGTGAAAAGGGCCTTTTTTCCAGGAGTGAACCTGTTGGGAAGGTTTTTCTTTTTTTCTATTAGTTAATCCGCTGTTTACTACTTGGCAACAGTGAGCACAGAAGTGTTAATGACAATTCTATGGAAACGATTTTGATGGCCTAAGCCCAGAGGGTTACATTGAAGGAGAAGCCATCCGATCTCTGGAAGTGGAATAAATTAGCTCAGAGTCACACTTTTTAAAGCGGCTGGAGTTGCTGTCTTCCCTTGGCCCTCACGGCTGGTCTTCCACCATCAGCCTGGAGCTCCTGCTGGGGATACAGGTGGCTGAGACAGCATGGTCCGGCTCCTTCCAGGAAGCTGCCTCAACTTACTCCCCCAAGATGAAGTGAATGCTGTTGCTTTGGTTCACAACCCCTCCTTTCCTACTGTCATTTCTTTGCCTAGGTTTCTTTCTCCCTTTTGAATTTCTTCAAAGTGCATATGTGGCTTTTTAATGCTGTGGTCTGGAGAAAAGGCTTTGGGATATGATAAAATGCTCACAATGCCCTTGAAGCACTAAGGAGATAAATAAAATCTGATGGAAATTGTAGTGTGTGTAAAACTGATATTTCAATTCTAAGGGGAAGCATTATGTTTCTAATTTTTTACTGCCAACACTTTTGAAATGGTTTTGGTACTATTTGAACTGATAATGCAGTGGTATTTCATTATGTTCACTGGCTTGGAATAGTATATACTTTAATATTGATTCCTTTCTGTTGTTTAATAGAAAGCATAGCATTAAAATTGCACAAAATTTATACAGCATGTAATCTACTGTAAAATCTAAAGCACATAGAAAATCTCCTTTAAAATTATTATTTAAGATACTTTTCAGCAGGAAATTGGTAAAAAGGAAATACTGAAGAGGTGATAAACATTTTAAAGATTATTTTGAGAATCAAAACTATATAAATATGACATTTACGAGACCCTCGATAGTGTACCAGTCCAAGGAACACTATCTTTCTGCACTAGTATCTTTCTGCACATGGACTGGGGACTAACCCTGCTTTCAAGGTCAGCCCCCCTGAAATGCCATGTGAGTCAGGGTGCCTCTGGTTATGGTAACGTGGACTTACTGCGTCAATTGACTGAGGACACAGTTAACAGTGTGTGCTCATAGACATATTTTTTCTAGACAACTGGTGATTTATTGCAATAACTATAAATATTAAATATCCCTAATTATCATTAATAATGCAATACATCGTATAGACTGTAGTGTGAACACTTTGGTTATTAATGAAAGTGTTCTCCATCCACCTTTCATATAAACTGAATTGCATCATCCCAGCCTAAATGAAAATTACATTCAGTTCACTCTGGTTCCCTGCTGAAAATCAAAACATCTCCTGGATATGGAAGAAAGAAAAAGAAAAAGTCTTCAGCTCTGACCTGGGCACATTTGCTTTCCTTCAGCTGCAGCAAAATGCTTGCAAGCTTCCTAGAATTTTAAACTAATGGTCACATCTAACAGGGATAATTATGGAAAGAAATATTTAACTGAACTAAGAAATGGCTTTTAGCCAAATAAATAAAAATGGACCATGTACATGACTGTCTTTTCATAATTTCTTTAGAAGTCTCCCAGTTCATAAAACTGATTTGTGCAACCTATTCATAAACCCTTGGTGGAGGGGAATTTTGTAATTCATTATTCACGAATAGCAGAAATACACTCCTGGAAAGCAGTGAGGTCTTGATTTGGAAACAGATTATCTAAATGTCACAGGACAGGGGAAAATCACTGTCCAGGCAGGTGACCCTCCTGACCAAGGCCACACTCATCCTTGAGTCCTTATTTGGTCCGCGTGCTGACCGTGATGAGATTAGCCTGAGGTCAGGTACTATCAAACCTACAAGGTATGTGTGATATCAGACACTCAAGGTAACCCTTTTACAGCCAGCAGAAGTCCAGTTAATATCAGGATTACATTAAAAACAGGCAGCCAAAGGTCTGAAAACAATCTGCCGTGTATTTAACAGGCATAGTGTAAAGAAAGAAATTCTAACATACAACATCCTCATACACTCAGAAAATGATAAAACCCCCATTTAAAAATGACATGAGCAAAAGGTTTACAGAAGAAGAAATAACAGAATCGCACGTCAATTCTTTATACTCAGTATTTCCCTTTCCCCATCTGCTGTTTGCTCCATAAGCTGCTCCAGTCTGACTTCTGACACTCTGCCCACAAAGCCCTGGCATCAGAGCCGGTGGGCACCACAGTCCCTGGCTTCCTTGGCCTCCCAGCAGCTTCCACACGGAAACTCTCCCATCAGCCCTCCCCTGAGCTTCCAGTCTTCCCCCCTCCTTCCTTCCTTCCTTCCTGGCTTCTCTTTTGTGTCTGTGCTGCTGAATTCCATTTGGAAGCAATGTTTAAATACATAGGTCCCTCCAGGTCAAGTCCTGGGTCTTTCTTCTTTCTGTATGTTCTGACCCCAAATAATCTCATCCAGGCCTGTGGCTTGATTTACCATTTTTGAGTGATGAGAACCCAACTTTTTAGAAAAAAATCTAATTGGTTTTCTTGCAGGCTACAGTCGATATATAAGATCCCATATAATAGGATCAAATATATGTGAATGAAAAAATTAAGATTAGAAAATATATATCAATACATAAAAGTAGAATCAGATATACACATTTTGTATATAATTAAAACATGTCCAGGGTAAAGTTATAAAACCTTCAAGTCAAGGATCCTAATGACTTGTGAATGTTGAACTTTTGGTTGCTGAGCCTCTTGATAACCAAACAAAAGAGGAAATAAAATTATCAATATGGTTTACATTGTCCATAATGACACTACAATGCCCTCCTTAAGTGTTGCAGAAGCTTTATCACTTTGAGTTACAGGGAAGCCTCGTAACAGTCATCAAGAGGACAATCCTCAACCTCACTGTCCTAAATATCAAGCAGTTCTTGGAGGACTATGTTTAGCTTTGCGTGAGCAGCCGGAAGGTGAGGTCCTAGAGCAGAACCTGGTAGAAGTTCCCAGGTGCTGGGCCTCTGTGAGAACACAGCTTCCAGATGGCCTGGCTCGACACAGGAGGAAACTGCCAAAGGCATAACGTGTGTTTTCTCCACGAGTGCTTTCCTCACCTGAACCTTGGAGACAGCATGAGAAGTCCATAACTCGAAGTGGTACTACAGCTAAAAGCTCTGTAAAGCATTCCACTCCCGCCTCTGCTGTCGAGCCATTCTTATTTCCTTCTTATTTTTAAATGTATTTTCCTCCAGTTCATTGTAGGAGCCACACACTCACAGTGAAAAATCAAACCTGAAAATGCCCTGCTCTCCAACTCACGAGCCTCACATCCACACTGCAGCTCTTCAGGAGGTTTTGATTTGTTTTCTCTTTCACTTTCTTTCTTCCTCTCAACTTTCTCTTTTCACTGTATGCAAACATTTGTACTTTTACAGATTGCATAAATTGATATGTACAGATAAATTAGTAAAATAATGTCACATGTCTTCTTTAAATGAGTATGCTTGTTTATGAAACATTTATGTGACCTTGAATATATTTTAGTATCAGAATGTAAAGATTTGCCTTATTCTGTGAAAGTTTTACTTTAAGTTTGAATACACATATTTGGTGTAAAACTCTAAAAAGCATTTGGCTCACAAATTTAAAATTCCACCCCCAAACCTTCTTTGAGTCACCCGCTTGACCTTCCCGCTTCCATGTCTGGAGCCTTCTTCATTCCACCCATCATCTTACTTCGCTTCCTTTTCCTTGTCTAATGATACCCTTGCTGATTGACAGCACAAGCATCCCTCAGGGCTTCGAAGGGCTCTCAGCCTATCCCCTTGCCTCTGTCTCTCTGCTCATTGCCCTGGCCCGCGACAGCCTCCTCTTCCCTGGCCACTTCGGTAGCCTCCTGGCTGGTCTCTTGACTTGAGGCTCTGAATGTGTGTGTGTGGCTGTATTTTGACATGATCACTTTAGACATCAGCATTTTTTAGTTTAGTTCATTAGC